CCCCCCCCCCAGGGCGTTCAAACATACAACGCAATTTCCTTGACTAACTTATGCTAATTAATATCATCCTCATGCAAGAGCCTGATGAATGCAAACAGTGGTTTCTAATGTTACCTCTAATTAGAGAGTCTTTTGCTTTGAAGGATTACATCTAAGATCACTAGAGGGATTCCTCACCCTTCTCCTTTACTGCATCCTTAGCGCCGCGTCACTGGCTACCGGCGTTGCTTTCGTTCTGACCTTTACGGCCGGAAAAATAGGCTATTATTGAAGTAAACTTGCATCAAAGCAGTAAACATCGAGTATGTACAAGAGAGGTTAGAAATGCTCACTCAGTAATGCGATGCAAAAGTTTCCTTAACACGATCTTAAAGAAGTCGTTTCCATCGGGGCCTCCAGAAAATTTTGCCACAAATTGTGCCTTCTGCGGTTCTTAGCCACGTTCTTCCAAGAAAGTTCTTCAGCTCAGCTGTAATCGATCTGGAGGTTTTCCCGCGGGTTATTTGCTGCCTCTTTACGTCCAGTCTAATATCTCTGGTCAAATGAGAGTCGCTTCTACTACTTATTGACGTTTCCAATTCTTCGTGCCTGCAAGGACATCGCGAAGTCCTGATCATTCATTTCCAATTCGTTCATCTTTCTATTTATTCTTAATATTTCCAGCATACACCTTTCCATGCCGCGCTAAACTGTCTGCAGTTTATGAAAAGTTTTCAGGCTTAGGACTCACCTTTTACATTAGCAGGTTGATAATGAGAGAAAGCGCTGATCGAAGACTCTCGGAATCAAATACTTGATCAATTTCCCGGAAACGAAAAATTTCAATCTTCCAAGAGGGTTGCCTGTCAGTTTTACTCTGGAATTGATTTTTTATGGTTGGCATTCAATTGCTGAAACCTACTCTCAAGTAGTTCCATTCTCTTCATGTTCATCTTCTACGGCCACCTCTCCTTTTGCGTTGCGGAGGTAGACGCAGCAGACAGAGCTACCAACGTTCCCCATCCTGCGCCAGAGTCTGAGCTACGGCAGAAGACGACTGGAGTCTGGAACAGACTCTTTCCATACATTTGCACAGGATAATCTTGGCCGTACCCTGAGCCTTCTGCCGTTCGGCTGGATAACAAACAGTTATTTAGCCTTCCTTTCTTGCACGAATTCCATAACTTTTTTTCATTTTAATGAACTGTATACGGCAAGTTATGGAATAAACCGAAACACTTTTTCGGTGCACCATCTTGTCTTCTTCGGCCGTATAACTACCATTACTGAGAAGAGTCATCAGGCGTATTCGAAAGACAGTTCCGTGAAACAGAAAGCATCTCAGAATTTCTTACTTCTACCATAGCAACAGGGTACTTCGATTAACCACACATAGCATGCTGTTTTCTGCCTGGAAATTACTCTGATTCTTCTTATTGTCCCATATCGCTAACGTTTCAGGAGATTTCATGGTTCTAGGCTTAGATAAAAAAAGTCACTTCAGACGAGTGCAAATGTACACCTCAAGTAATCCGCCCATGACAAACCGTCAGCCGTTGTCCATATTTAGCGCCTTCTGCATTGCTTTGTGTTGATGGTCATACTGAATGTCAGCTATGAGGTGACTAAGGTGACTCACGACAGACAGCACCACTGTACCTCTCACCCATTTTCGTATGACAACACCAGAACACCACACCACGTTGTCCTTGTCGTTTCCAGGGCCATGAACTGGTATCTATTTTTTGACTAGCTGCACTGAAGCAACATGCGATGAATTTTATGCGCCTGGATATTACTGGTTAAAAAGACTTTTGCCAGACCATCGCCTGCAAAATATGGCGTGAATGGCGTT